TTGATATAGCGTTCATTTTTCTTCTTTAGGAAAAATGCATTATTTGTCATATTCTTGGTATATAAAAACGTTGGTGCTATCAGAATGTTTCAATTTGTAATTATCAATGGCATAAAAAATTTAATCTGCTCAACTGAGAGAAAAAAATATTTTACAAACGAACAAAATACGCTTCTACATACAAGGATGTTATTTTGCGTTTCTTTTTTTCTTTTTGTAATCGTAATACAATTATTCTAAAAGTCTTTGTTCCTCTCGATAATCACTTTTCGTGATACACGTTTCGTGAACATTATCGCAAGGAGCTTCATTTCATATGAGTCAAGCGAATAATGGTAAATTTAGCAATTTGACGAACGAAGGATTATATTTACGCAATGTACAAACGTAGGATAAACCTTATTGATTTTTCATTTAATGTCCAGCATTTTGTGATAGTAATAGAATCAGCAAGAGGATACGTTGCAAATATGATTGATTGATGTATTCAAAATATAGCAAAATGGCCATAATTTCTATGAAGTGGCCAATCTTCAGATTCGAAAGATACAAAGAGAAAAATAGCTCCATTTGGTTTCAGTGAAATAACATTCTTTTCCGCCATTAATCACAATTGGAGTAAAGCTGGTTTTGTTAAGATATGTACAATATATTAGATTATTCAATTTTATATTCATGACACAGTAATGTGCTTTCAAAACATATATATATATATATTACGCATAAATTGCAGCATATTATTACGTGAAACGCGTCTTTATGTATGTTACATGTATATACGTATATATAGATATATAATAAAATTTATAATTTGTACATACATATAATAATTATAAGTCTATCTCTTCGGGAAATATTATAATATGTATCGGGAAATAACAAATTCGCACGTTAGTAGGTTAAATAGAGCTATTTTTTTCACATAGATGCAGTCCAAGTAAACCCAAGAAATTTATTATTACATTTTAATTCTAAAATATCAAAATCAGAATAATTCTTTTTGTGAAAAATGGCATTAAGCTACAAAATATGCGTTTTGTTATCATCGAAAAATGATAATAAACAAAAATGCATCTTCTATCCGATTTTAATTTCAAATCGTTTTCAATGAAATACCTCGGTTTTGTTGAGCAGGTTTATATATCTCAAGCTTTCGTTACAATTGATACATTTAGCGAAATTGAGATTTTGAATAATATCTAAAATTCAATCAATCTATATTCCTTTATCAGTGTGCTCGAATGCTGCCGAAGTGATATACGTGCAGTAAATAATGGACATCAAAAGAGGGGTCTAACATAAAATGTTAAAGGTAAACAGAAGTATTAATTGAATTGTACGTAATGTATGTATAGAATGGTTTATGAATGATGCGATTCTACTTTAATGTAACATAATATATCTTTAATGCACTTTATAATTCATATGTCGATGTATGTTTATGGGAAATACGGATAATGAAAGGTGTATACTGTATATTAATATTATTAATATCTATAATTATTAATATCTATAATTGCTATTATAATAAAGAAAAATATATGAAAGATAATTTACGAGTCTCAATATTTTGTAAATTTATTCTTATTGTACATATTAGATTAATTTAAGTCAGCAAACTCCAACTGTTAATTAGTAAATAGAGATTCAAGAATGAATTTACAACTGTTCATGAAAGTCTCCACGAATAATTATTAATTATTATGAAATGAAATTCACGTATTGCACTCATATTAATAAAACAATAAAACAATTATAACTGAAATAAATGAAAAATAAATAAAGGTACTAAGAATGTGCAAGTAAAATTGAAAGAAATCCAACAAAAATAGAATTATTGTTTACAGTTATAAAACAAAAGATAGACGAATTATTTCTATATTAATTTATGATAATATTAATATAGAAATTATTAAGATCATTAACTGGCATTGATTATTTATTGAAGACAATGTTTCATGCTACATACATATGTACAAATATTTCCAACATTTTTTTTATTTTTCTATTGGATATTTTCACTATTCTAGTTCCTAAAGTCTCTTTTAATGTTATTTCTTAATTTTTAAGTCTTTCTGTTACAATCTAAAAGTATTTTGACTTTAGAAGAATATTTAATGGCGCATTATGAAGCAATCATTCCTAAAGAATCCAAATGAAATGCTTTGGATTATCCTGTTGAAAGTAAAAAAGTTTTCTTAATTTGTTTGCACTTTTCTTTTAAACTTTGTTTTGAAATATTTAGATAAAGAATAAATGTTATTTATTTCTATTTAAAATTCAATATTAACAAAGATAAAATTTCTAGTTTCATTCGCTGTTATATAATAAAACAAAAATACAATAACTTTTGTTTTTTAATTGTATTACATTTTATATCATCATATATATATATGTATAGAAGTGTTCACAATGTGTGAATTTTATTTCTTAACAATTAGGGACGCGATAGTTCGAAGATTTTTGTAAACAGTTGTATCGGTGTTAGAATTATTGTTAGAATTTATTTTTCGAGTTTAAGTATTACAGTAATTTGAAAGTTATGTCATTTCTGTTCCAATTACATCTTTTTAGTGTTTATTTCTTCTACCATCTTGTCATGAGTTTTCTAACTAGTTGGCAAAAGCAACGTTGCCAGCCGAGAAAATAAAAATTTGAATAGTAGCGAGGAAACTATTAGAGTGAACTAGTAACATGATTCGTAATTACAAAATTGGTAAAAACTTTGAATTTAGAGTGTAAGATTGACATCGATCGATTCCGTTTTGATAATTAATACTTGTGACATAAAATATTTGTAAATGTTTGATATATATTTATAAATAATATTTGACTGAATAGCAGATTTTATTAAGAGAAAAAATGTGCTTTAAAACACGTGGTGCTTTAATAGTATTAGAAGGATGTGATAAAGCAGGAAAATCTACACAAACGAAACTGTTAATGGATGCGTTGAAACAATATGATATTCCTGCTAAACAACGAACTTTTCCTGGTAAACATATATTGTTTTAGTTATTATACATATTATTTTTTTTATCCAGTTATCAAACTACATCATTTACTTGGTTTTAATAATTTGGTATATTTCGACAAATCAAAATTAAAAATGCAAGCTTTAAGATGAAAATCTGCTGCTACAAAAGTTATGCCTTTTAGTATATTCCCAGCATTTTTTGTGTTATCGATGCAGCGTTTCCTTTAAAAATTACATATAATTTATATTTTTATATTTTGAAGATGGTGTTTGGGTTAGGTATGTAAACAGAAATCTTTGTGTTTCAAATTTCCGAATAATTATATTAAAAATATTTTAGGTTTTAACTTTTGAATTATTAAAAATCCTTCTTATAAATATTATTTTCGTTTAAAAGGACATTTACAACCAATAGTATAGTGTCACAGTACGTTGAAAATGCTCACTTTTATATAACTTTATAACTTTCTTAACTTTATAACTTTATAACTTTATAAATTTTAAAACTTGCATTTTTTCAGCTCGTCGAAATTTCTCAGATTAAAAAAAAATGATCATTTTTGGTCCTCTAAAGTAAAGGTTAACCGTTTATTTTTTTTTATCTACATAATCTTTTCAAATAATATCTAAAGTAATGAATATTTGCAGATAGAACAACTCCCATTGGAACAATAATAAACGATTTTTTGAATAAAAAACTAAATTTTCCTCCTGAAACAGCACATTTATTATTTTCTGCAAATCGGTGGGAATGCAAGGAAGAAATTCTAAAATCTTTGTATAGTGGTACTAGTGTTGTTATAGATAGGTAAGTATCAAACTTTGTTCTTTGAAAGAAAAATTTTAAGATATAACATAATTTATAAATATTGTAGATATGCTGCTTCAGGTGCTGCTTATACAGCAGCTACAACTGGTAAATGTTTAAGCTGGTGTAAGGAACCTGATAAAGGACTACCTTCTCCAGACATAGTTATTCTTCTTAACGTTTCCAGTGAATCTCAATCTTTACGTCATAACTGGGGTGATGAACGTTTTGAAAATACTGAACTTCAATTATGTGTTGCTTCCAATTATAAGAAATTAATAGACAAAACATGGTGTGTAATTAATGCTGATGATGATAAATCAGTGATACATTCTCAAATATTACATAAAGTATTAAATGTTATAAATCACATTAAAAATTTGCCTGTTGAAAAATTATATGAATCTACAGAAACTGAGAATTAATATTAGTAACTTAAGTATAGTTGTAAAAAAATTTTCTTGAATATAATAGATAGATGTAAAATATATTTTTAAAATATTTGTTTTAAAGGATCAAAAATTATTAACTCTTATTGATAATCTGATAAATTTTGATGAGTTGAGACCAAAATGCAAGTATGGATTAACCACAGATGTGATTCAATAAGATTTCTGTCTGAAATATCGACCTGGCAAAAGATCACTGATTTTTAACGCAATCTATGCTTGAAGTCTTACAAACTCTATGAAACTATTCCATTTTATATGTATGTATTATCATTGACTAAAGTCAATGGTATTATTAAAGTCAATGATATTCCTATATATGTACTAAAAAAAATGTATCTATCTCTTCGTACTTACGAATTCTTTTATGAATTTTCTACATTCTATATTAAAATTTCGTATTTTAAATTATAAAAAATATATTGATTAATTAACTAAATTTTTTACTATGTATTAAAATTATTTTGAGCTTATTTTACAAATGCTCCTCTTTTTGTCCTCATTTCGGCCAGTTGATATATTTGAAAAATGTTACGAAGAGTGCAAAAAAACTTTAAATATAAAATCTTTGGAAATTCATCTGATGAATCTTATCGTATGAAAGATAAGGACGAATAACTATAGTTCATTCAACGAGTCGAGACTCAGTTATAAACATGCAAGTGGTAGTATTTAAACGAAACAGAGATGCACTCATAGTTTTTAAATGTATGGATATTTCATACTTATGAACTATGGACTGAACAGTCCATATTACATACTACATACTACATACTTATAGACTAAAATTGTAATATAAATAAATGACTGTTTTAAACATAACAGAGGAAAACTTTATCTTACAAATCAAATAAATGATTTGCAAATTATTTTTTGAGTTAATTCATCCAAATAAAATGACAAAGTAGCACAATGTGTAGTTTACTAAACAGAATTAGAAACTATTTGAGAAATTATTTAATAAATTTAAAATTTATAATAATTTAATAAATATAAAATTATTTGATTATCGAAATAAAAAATTATTTATTTGATAGTAAAATAACAATTTCGAGAAAAACCATCTTTTATTCAAATAAATTAACGTAAAATTATTTTTAAATAACATCAAACCACGAGGCATAAAATGTTGTATTAAACTATTTAAATAATTTTTCAACTATTTTATTTCAGTAATGCTCAAGTTTTAGTTCAATGCGTCTGTTTTTATATGACGCTCTATATTTCTGTGTCAATGACGATTTACTTGTTTTAACATCTCGTTACCCGAAAGTATCGCCGCTGACCGAGGTCCTCAGAATACACGTTAATATTGTATACGAGAATCATTATATAAAAGGTTCTTTAAGATTACATGTATTATCTAGCATACACATATCGTATGTAAGTGTGACAAAGTCTGTATTGTCGATTCTGAATCATTATATGAAAAGCTCCATTTTCTATAAAAGATTGTTTTCGGTATCCAATATATATGTTACGCGATAGAGTATCGCCGTATGTAAGAGTTAAGCTTATTGTTAGAATTAGGATTGTAATTCGAGCATCTAGAATCTAGAATGCCTAAAACATATCGGAACATATGTAACTCTTAATAATATATGTATGTATGTATGTATGTACGTATGTATGCATGGATATATGCGCGCGTGTGTGTTGCGTATGCGCGTGTGTGTACAGATTTATCTGCGGACAGTGGCGCCAGCGGTAGTTAGTTAAGTATTTAATTTCTATGTTATTTTCTGTCTTTCTTTGTCTTTCATGTGGTTTCGAAAAATTATACGATTCATATCTTCGATCTTTCATTTCTAAACAGATGAATTTCCGAAGTTCCATTTTATATTTTGTAACTCTCTCTCTCATATTCATAACACTCTTTAAATTTCATTACAATCGGCGGAGAAGAAGGACATTCAGTACAATATCTTCATTTTATATGGAAGTTTAAATCAATCGGTCCTGATTTATCATTACAAAATTTAAATTTTTCATTTATTAACAATTTTATTATAACTATGCAATAGTTTGAATATGTTGGAATATCAACGGAGTTATCAAAATCACGGTACAATAGGTTTATTAGTATAATTACTTAGTATAATTCAAATGATAGTTACAAAAAATTGCAACGGAATTGCATTTCAAAAGATTTCGAAAGAATCAGAAATTTGATTTTTCGCGTTTTTTAGCTTTATTCATATATTGTGCAAGAGAGTAGAGAAGTGTGTAGCATGAAAGGATCTAGAAAAGAAAGAACAAAGGATGTGAGTGGATTCTAAAGGATAGAGAGCAAAATGGCATAAGCGTTTGGGTGGCTTTATATTTGTAGGAGATGTAAACTGGGACTTCGATATTAATGACATTTCAAGCTCTGAAACATTAAGAGGCGCCCAAAAGTGTTTGTCAAAAAAATGATTAAATGATTTTTGAAATTAAATAAGATATATTTGTTAGTACGCAAAGTCTGGGATAAAAATTTTAATCTGGCTAAAACGATGTTTATCGAATCAATATATTTTTAACAATCGCTCATTACTTGTAAAATAAGGAAAATTTTCTTCGAGGTATTAATAACAAAAAATAAATATAAAAGAGATATGCTTGAGAAAGAATTGAACTTTTTAATCATTTTGTCAACTAAAAATGATATAATTAGATCGTATGATAAAACAGTAAAACAATTTAACAATACTTATTTACAATTAGTGACTACATTCTTCTTCATTTCTCTCATATTTTTTTATATTATGACTATATATACAAATTTTTGCAATAAAGATAAAATTAATTCTTATTTGCTTTAGTTCATGGGTTCCAATGACTATTAGCTTCAAATCTCGTAAGGTTAGATCTATTGGATGAGGACAAAATAGGATGAATATTTGAATGACTTTATGTTTCTATCCAAGTATAATGAATGACACAATTCTATTATTCATTAATTAAACATTACTTCTATGTTTTTCACTAGAACATAATTAAAATATTATTTGAGATTCTTTATAAGATTTTGTTTAAATAAAATGTTATTAAATGTTATAAGATTGTTTTAATAATAATAAAATTTCATTGTTTATTTAATATAAATCGTAGGTCTCAATTTCATAGAGATTTTATAAAAAGTATACTATTAAGATTTTAGACACTAAAATCTTATAGGTATTTTTATATAAATCTTTAGATAAATCTTTTTATATAAATCTTTAGATTTTAGACACTAGCCTAATTCATAAGATAGTTGCTAATATATAAGGTTGCATAGATAGCATTGGATATTATTCAAATAAATTTTTAATTATTATCTTTTATGTAGTTATTGATAAATTTTTATTTATTTAATTATATAAATATTTATATATAATAATATATTATATATTATATATTTATAATATATTATATATTATTATATATTTATATAATTATATAATTACATAAATATGTATATATTAATTATATTTATAAATATAAATTATATAAGTATACTAATATTTTTTTATTTGTACTGTGTGTCATTCATTATAATAACGAAAACAATTGGAAAGAGAAAAGTGGGAATGAGCAATATTTTAAATTCTTGTAAAATCTCAATAAAATATGCTGAAATACATCAAAATCCTTACAAAATTATTCATATTCTATATTTTATATTAACTCTCGCATAACGCCAGCTTATGTTGCTCGACTGTTATGTTCATCTAATTGCCATTTCTGTCATTTTAACATAATATTCAATTACTTTAATATTATCCGAAATATTAATGCAAATTTCTCCAGATTAAATTTGAAAATTTAGAACAGAAGGATTATTAAGGTCACTGAATTTTAGTTTTTGTGCTTTGTAAAGATATCGAAAAAATGTTTAGGATTCAATTTAAAAAATCATCAATGATTAAATGTTATAAAAATGATTTTGGGAAAAATTCTTTCTACCATTATCAAATATGTTCTTTGAAATAGTGTAACTTTATTCTGAATATTTTTTCCATGAAACTACCAAAGCTAACGCACATATTTAGATGTTCTCATTGAAATACCGCAGTCTGTATAAAACTTGTAGTATCTCAAGCAATATTAATTTTTTTTTTTTGATAAAAACTGTGCTCTAATACTTTTTCATTCAGAGTTACAAGGAATCAATTTATGGAAGAAGAATCGTAGAGTTCCATTTAAAAAACAAGTTTAATTTTGCACTATACAATGATTAAGCTTCTTAAACAATGCAAAATTTTTCTTTGTAATTTTTTTTTTATCTTAAATAAGAATTATAGTTTGACTATGTATACAATATAGGATATTCACGAATTTATTGGCCATTTTTCTCATTTTTCTCACAAACAGTAAAAAAAAGACAAAAGAGAAAACAGTAGTATTGTTTTTTGTAAGTAAGATGATGGTTTATGAAATCGTTTTGTATTTGTATTATTTTTTTTAAAAGAAAGTAATTTTCAATTTTTTAAATGGAATGCTACAAATTTTTTTCTATCGTGTAAAAGTATGCATCCAGACAATGTACTACATAATGTAAATGAAAAAAAAAATTTGAATATCATATTATATTATATTTTGAATAATATAAGAATTTTTCGTACCATTTTATTTATTAATTTTATTTACTATTCAGAAAGTGTATTCATAAAATATTCGAACTTTTTCTCTTGATTTTGTATGACTTCAAAGGTCATTTTATAACAGATGGTTATATAACATGTATTAAAATTGAGAAACGTTAAAAATATAATAGATATTCCACGAAATTATTATAATAATTGTAATTAATGACATTATAATATGTATAAATAAAGAATTATTACAGTATAAAATCTTATAGATATTTGCTTCATAATAACATCTTATAAATATTTGCTTCATAATAACATTATGACTATATTATTTATAATTTTATAGGAAAATCATTATTACACTGAATCAGTTATTATATTGAACATCGCATGTGATATTAAAGTGACGCAAAATGTGAAACACGAAAAAGTTTAGTAATCTATTCTACCCTAATCAATAATAGTATGTAGTTTTATAAATTATGGTATTCTTTTAATGAAAAAGATGAATTATTATTATTTTGATAAATTGTATATGGATAAGGAACTTTTTCTCTACCTTTTCATTACTTTTTCATCTAGTAATTGTTTTTATGCTCAACATTTACTGACAAAGATTACTAACGAGTATGTTATAAATTTTCATTTTGTCTTGATAATTAAAACATACTGATTCGAATTGATTTAAGAAAATAGAATTGTAATCACATTACATTGTATTATATTCTATTAGTATCTATTCTATTAGAGATGCGATTTGTATGTTACAGCGATGTATGTATTATATTTATATGTTACAATGTATCATAAATTTAAACATATGTACGTGTAATGGGATCTCGATTAACCGGTTTGCGATTATCTGCGATCACAGTTAATATGGTTTCAATCGATTGATATCTTAATTACCTAGAGTTTCGGTTATCCGTTTTCTTGTGTTTACTAATATCGTTCGATTCGAATGATTCATTCATATTTATATATTCAAACTTTTTCCCTCAATATTGCGCTGTTTTTTGCCAGTGCATAGAAAAAACAAACATATATACATAGAAATAAATTTTGAAGAGAAAAAAAGTTTTTAGTTATTTCTTCCCGGTTATCTCTCTTTTCGATTTATCCGGGCTGTTTGTAACCCGAATATGTTGGTTGATCTGACTGTATGTTGATACTTTGTATCAAATTTGATATCAAGAATGTCATTGATAAGTCATAAGAAAATATCATTATTGTGACTTTATCCTTTGAGATAAATAGATTTATATCAGTATTTGAATGATTCAATGTAAACATTTATGTAATTTATTATTTTAGAACAAAATACAATATTTCAAACAAATATTTTTAAAAAAGGGTTTTATTTATAATTGATTAAAATTTTTTTAAAAATTATCGTTCATCTTGATTTAGTACGTAAACAAAAAAAAAGAACTAGAAAATTTATGTTTTCTTAATTTCTCGGAGAAATGAACGGATTTATATTAAAAATGCCTGAGCCAACAATATTTTCATCTTCACTTTGAACCAAAGAAAAATTCCTATTCGGGGAACCAAAAACAAAAGTGGTTTCAAACTGTTTAAACCAATTGTGATCTGTTTTCAATTTCTTTCCTCTCTGTTCGTTAATTGGAGAATCATCTTCGAAATCGGTCAATTCCGGAGATTTTTGTCGTTTCTTTTTTGTAAAATGTAAAATGTTTTGGTGAACGGAAGGCAAGCTGCTCTCGTCATTTATGATTGGATTCGAACTTTGATTCTTGTCATGATCTTTTACTTCTAGTTGAGATGTACTTTGATCGATCTTTTCAGAAAGAACATTCCAATTGTTCGTAGAAGTAGATGTTTGGTCAAATTTATTCAAAAAGCTGATTACAGATCGCCCTGTTTCTTGATTTGTGTATTTGATTTTCGTGTCGCTGTGTTTATTATTTAGGGCTGTTAGTGTCAAACTGTTAGGGTTCTTCATAATTTCATCATCAGTTATATTAATATCATTCATTAACTTCTTAGTATAATTAGCTTCCGTGATCGAAATCGACGACAAAGTCAAAGCTTTGTCTGTAATTGATCGGAAGGACTTTCTTTGAGGTATCTCATTCCTGAACGTCTTTCTTCTAATCGATATCAAAAGGTTAACGTTCGGATTTTTCGATAAGAAGGTATTTTTAATATTTCTCTGTCTGGATGTACATCGATTGTCGTTCCATCCGTTCGTAGAAAATTGAGTATCACTATAGGCTTTCTCTTGGGACTTTCCCTGCCTGCTATTTGTTTTGATTGGATTCTCCTTCAATCTGCTATGCTTTGCGTTATTGTTACAGCTTTTCTTGCGACTCGTTACCGTGGCACGATCGAATTTTCGATATATATGTTTTCTTAAATTCATAGGCATCGGTTCAAAATTTCGAACAGATTCATTTGATAACTTTTGAACCATCGGTTCTTTAACATTTTGAGTATTTAAATTATTCTTAAATTTCCAATTGAGAGAGTCATCGTTAATCTCTATAACGTTCTTGCAATTCGGGATTTTATAACGGTGACGTCGATCGATCTTTTCGTACGTTGTTGGACTGTCTGACAGATCGTCATCGAATGTCACGAATCTTTTGAACGAGATACCGAGTTTCAAACTGTTCCAGAAATCGCAATTGATTTGGAGAAAACAGTCGTCGGTTCTAAAGTGCGTCCTTTGAAAGCTGAAAATTATAAGCTCCCGCGGTATCGACTCCCATGCTTCGATCAGAGATGTTAGAATGTTGCAAAGATCCCATTCTGCAGTGTGCTGGTTCAATCGTTCTGCGTACCTTTAACAAACGTTTCGTGATTTTGTTTGACAGAGAAGACATTCAAATAATATTGCTATCGAATGTTAAGGAACTTTTGCAAACTCTTTTCACAGATGTTCGAAGTTTTCAAGAAACTTTACTCTCGAGACTCACCTTCGTCTGAAAACCATCTTGACGTAATGAAAAATGTCTCTCCGCAACGGTCGTAAAAGCGGCGGGAAATCCTCAGGAAAGTAAACGAGCTGTATGTTGCTCGCTATGAAATCCTTCAATGAGCGAGCTCTGCTATATCGTAGAAACAGCAAGATTTTTTGATGACACTTTATCATACGATCGTTCACGGCCAACAGCCAATTTCTGAATAGCTCGTCCCCGATACGGTAATCCTCACTCTGACAATAAACGTGATCTTTCACCGTTATCTTGGAAGAATATGGTCCGCAGATCAAGAGCGGCAGTTTTATCGTTCCCGAGGAATTACAGCTCATTAAAATCGTTATCTGATTCCTCGGCGACTCGGTTGCCTTTGAATCTTCGAATCCGTTAGGCGAGATTTCCGAAGGGAAAATGTCCGAGTACATGGTCATCTCGTCCACATGAAACAGATCCTTGTGCCTATACCTGATTATCGTCGATCTCATCAGATCGATCCAGTCACGGTAATTGGCGAATATCGGACCCGTTTGACTTATTAAATCGGTAGAGAAACCGTACTCTTTCAAAAATATAGTCAACCATTTATCCGAGCATTTAAATCCTACATATAATATCGTAATTCAATCCCTGATCTATCGTAATATTGAGAACAAAAACATTTAACTTGCAATTATTGACTATAGGCCATTGGTTTTCTATGCGTTAAAAAAAAAGAAGGATAAAATACATTACCAGTGGAAGTAAGTACCTTTCGAGCCATGCATGTTTGCCAGTTCGAGAGCCTTTTCTCGTAACAGATGCCTATCCATGAAACTATTCATTGCGTATTTTTTACAAGCCCATGTGAACAATTCTTCCTTGATCGTCTTCATAATGATCCTTTGATTCATTTTTGATGATTCATTTCTAATGTGTTCCAAAAATATCGGTGACAATTTACTATTTAACATGCACGAAGGTTAAAGTTACATATTTCTTGAAGAGACATAGCTGTTGGGTCACTGATGATTTTCGATTGTCGATCGAACATTGTTTCTCGCTTCTCAACTACGCGACTATTTCGCACCATTTTCAGAGAAGTGTTGTCGATTGAGAATATGACGCGCCAGAATATCGTTCTTAATTGCTATTTTTTTTTTTTTTTTATTTACTATGCAACTGTGCAATTTTCTAAAAGAATATTTGTAAAACGAGCGACGGGTAAGCTCAGTGAAGGAATTTGGTGCTCGGTAGTGAGTACTAAAGCGTGACAACATGTAGAGGACAGTATTTATGCAAAAAATCTAGCTCATCTTCGAAAGCAATTTCTCAGAGAAGAGAGATAAAACAGCTTTTATTTTCATGGATATGCGCAGTGCGAGCCGTGCGTTGACCGCTCGATGAATATCATTCATCTTGCACGCCGAGTTAAATTGCATTTCTCTGGGGCGTCGTCCTGACGAGATACTTTCCATCGTAAATTTTCATCTAATATTCTGCTTTATATTACCACCTATCCTCCCGTCTCTCTCTCTCTCTCTCTCTCT